GAGAGTGAGGTGTGTGTGTGTGTGTGTGTGTGTGTGTGTGTGTGTGTGTGTGTGTGTGTGTGTTGGGGGTGTTTAGGTAACAGTTAACTAATTTATAATCACTAAGCAATCTTTATATAATCATGCATGCTACAGTATGTAGGCTAATCATGTTAGGCCACAATGCATTCAAAGAGGGTGAGTAATGTCCTCAAATCTGTATAAAAGAACAAGTATATACAATAAATGTACTCAAAACGTAAGAGTATCCTCTTCTTGTACACTCACTTTCCAGAAGGAAATATTTTCTTAGTGTTAGGTGTGGTTACAGGTAAGATCAATTCAAAGAACAACTGCTTGCTAAAAAAATTATAGTTGGCTAGATATATGCACAATTTAGTTTATTACGATCACTGCTCTGATTATATGGTTATAATGTGATATACTTCTATACATTATATACAACTGTATACATATAATCAAAAACAAAATTATAATTTTGCTATCAAAAGTTTAATGTAAAATTTGGGACAATAAATCAAACAATTAACATCATAACTGTTATGTAGATGTAGAATATAAAAATGTAGTTTAAGTGCTACATAGCAAGTTTAGTTGTAATTTGTACCCAAAGAGGTTTTTATTTCCTTCAACTAGTGCAAAGTTGTTCAACAAACTGTGTGCAGATTACAAAGCCATCTTCTCCTCTTCTGAGTGTTTTATCTGATTGCTGTGGTAGTAAGAGGGTAGCAATATAGTTAGAACCAAAAACTGAATGGTGGCGGCGTAGACTGAGTGGTACTCAATGTTCACCGATTCAGAGAGCCCACTCCTTTGCAAACAGCACATCAGCTGAGTACTACACTGGTATATAACCTTAGCTAGCTGGGGGTTTGTTCTTTTGTGTTTTCTATTTTATCAAAATTTTTAGTTCATTCTATTTTTCTGTTATTCAAATTGAGAAAACCACACAAAGAACAAAACATAAAACCAAGAGACGAATATAAGATGCAGTGGAATGTCTGAATATTCCCACAATGCAACTGGGCAGATTTTCATAAAAAAATCTAATCAAATCAGTTTTAGTAGTAAATGATTACGTATTTATTGTTATGTCTTGTTTTGCCTGGACAGCGGTTCAGATGTGTTCTAGCATATCTAACATTATCAAGAAGTGCTTTGACAATCAGCAGGATCAGTTCTTTCCGTTTCCTTCCACCACTTAGACAGACACTCCTGAACAGGTCTCAGCGTCTGGGTACTACAACTGGAAAATGTGTCCATGTTACAATATTACGGGACGGGACCTCAAGGAGAATCCACAGAGGCATAACTATATGCTCTGAACGAGTGCAGCACTTTTGCTTCTCCGATTTTCAAGTCAAGTCAAGTCAAGTCTGCTTTATTGTCAATTCTTCCACATGTACAGCACATACACACAGAGATGTTTCGCCACATTTTTGGCGAGAAATGAGTGCTTTCAGTCGTTACTCTATAGTTCACCCAAGAAAAGAGAGCGAGAGAATATGACAACATGAGTCTTACAAGAAACACAGTGGCCCAATGAATCAAAGACTTGTCAACCAACCTAAAGCAACAAGTGTCAGGTAAAGCATGTGAATTCGACTGATAACAGCACTGATACCACAGACATGGCTCAATGTAAATGCAAATGGTTGCATTTTTTTATTTATTTTTTGCTCGACTTGTACTTATACTTTGCACTGTTGCACTGGTTGAACTTTAACCCTGAAGCAGATGAACAAGATGTAATTAAAGCATTTTACCAGCAAATTACTTTAATAAACTTTACCGATACTCATTTTACTCATTCAACAATAGTTTACTGTACCATTCCGTGTACCTTGAAGTGGTACCCTCCAGAGTAAATTTGCTAAGCACCCTCAAATGAAATCAATATGATATCTCGATATTAATCGATTCTAATTTTTACGAAATGATATCGATTCTTAAATCCCAAGAATCGATTATTCTAACCTGTTTTCAGTTAATGGATGGAACATTGAAGGGCACCTCCCCCATCCAATATATCGCAATAAGCATTGTGCGTTGGTACTTTTAATATGAAACAAAGTCTCAGATTTCAAATTCTGTCCATTGTATTGGCGCTGTTTAATGTGGAGTGACAGATCGCTGTAGCGCCTCAGTTCAATAAAAGCGGCAGCACGAGGTGCATATGAACTGATCATCTCCTCTGCTTTAATACTAGTTATAGCACAAAATAAACATGACTAAACGAATCGATTATTCTAACCTGTTTTCAGTTAATGGATGGAACATTGAAGGGCACCTCCCCCATCCAATATATCGCAATAAGCATTGTGCGTTGGTACTTTTAATATGAAACAAAGTCTCAGATTTCAAATTCTGTCCATTGTATTGGCGCTGTTTAATGTGGAGTGACAGATCGCTGTAGCGCCTCAGTTCAATAAAAGCGGCAGCACGAGGTGCATATGAACTGATCATCTCCTCTGCTTTAATACTAGTCAAAATACAAAATAAACATGACTAAACATCCGAAGGTATGTTAAAAGAAAGAGTACAACTTTACAATCTGTATCCTGTCTCATGTATCCTCTCCAATATAACGGAATAAAACATTCGGTGACCATAAACTCATTAGTCAGCCAGAAAAAAAAACTTAATTAAGTGTAATTTAACAAATCAGTCAATTTTAAGCTTCAATATTTTAGTAATGTAGTAACAAATGACTCGTGTATATTTTACAGCATTAGTTGAGAGATTATTTTTTCCTTGAGAAAATTTGGCATGTACTGTACCTGATATATATCCAAAATAATCGACATTGAATCGAATCGGTAATCAAATCGAATCGCAAGCTTGTGAATGAGAATTGAATCGAATCGTGAAATGTGTGTCAAAACCCAGCCCTACTTATTACAGACATATATGCTTATTTATTGAATGCAACAGCGGATCAGTTAGAATGAGCTTTTAAGTTAGAATCCCCTCACTGCTCAAATCGCTGTTTTTGTTCAGGTGTTCTGTTCAGTACGAATCATTTCATTATAACTAGACACGATGTAAATAAGAGAGTCATTGTGCAGCGTAGAGAATTTAATTGATTATCACTTAACTTTGTGAGATTGTGAGTGATTATAAAGGAAGCGTTATTTGCGCCATAGCAATACACAAATGATATACAGTATATATATATATAATTAACTTAAATGATTTTAGCAAATGGCTGCAATATAACAAAGAGTGAAAAATTGAAGGGGGTCTGAATACTTTCCGTACCCACTGTATATATACAATAAGGTACAGCACCCTCACTAATTTAAGAAGCACCATCAGTGATTTGATTCTGGAGCCGGGCCTGCACAACAGTGCCCAGCAGCTCAGTTGTAAACATACATTGAACTGTTTGTGTTATCAAATCTGGGAAGAGTGCCAAATATGTGAGTGAGAAAACCTCACACTAAGGCACTTTGCTGCATACCAAGAACATTAACCCTGAAGCAGATGAACAAGATGCAGTTGAAGCATTTTACCAAGAAATGACTACTTTAATAAACTTTATCAATACTAATTTCAGACTTACAGGTGGGTCAGGTTGCAGGCCCAGAAAAGGATGACTTCCAACACCAGGTCTGATCAGAGTGCTAATGTCAGGCAAATGACCAAAACAGAAAGGCTCAGCTTCTGCCCCATCACTGTCTCCAACTCCAATAAGTCACGGTATATTAGTATGTACCCACCTAAACTCACACACACACACACATGCACACACACACACACACACACACACTTTATTTATTTAGGTTTTCTTTAGGTTTCTTTATTTCTAAGAGCATCACACACCAGTTTATTTATTTATTTTTATTAATAAATCACACTTTTTACGAGGCAAATTGTGTCAAAGCAGCACAGTGTGGGTTTATCCCACTTCCACATTATTACTTATTGGTTTCTACCACTTATTGCATTCTTTTTTTTTTCTTTCTATTTTTTAACCTCTATTCAATTATCTATTTTAATATATTATTCTATTGTATTTTAATAACTTTTTAAAAGTATTCTTTTTTTGAGTATTCTTATTTAATATATTCATAATATTTCATAGTAATTCATAGTAGTAGTAAGTAGTAAATCTTTATTTGTCCCTTCACAGGGCAATTTATGCAGCATCTACCTCACAAACAGACAAAAGTTTATAAGATATCGTGACAAAACTGCTAGAATGAATGAATAACCACAACAACAAAAAAAACTAATAAAAACCCGGGCATTAACAGTGCACCACTTGCCATATACTAAAACAATGTTAAAATTCATAGTATACCTTTATCTTTATGTTTCAAATAATCGTTTACAATCAAGACTGCATTTGAAACAAAAGATCTAGAAGCTCTAACAGTCCTCCACTTGGGCACTCTATATCGTCTGCCCAAGGGGATGAGTTCAATTTCTGAGTGCAAAATGTGAGATGTAACATCTAAGATAGTCAAAGACTTCCTAAGGACATTTTCTCAC